GAGAGAGAGAGAGAGAGAGAGAGAGAGAGAGAGAGAGAGAGAGAGAGAGAGAGAGAGAGAGAGAGAGAGAGAGAGAGAGAGAGGTATGCACCACAAGAAAAAATGTAGTATGCAACTTACCCTCGGATCCGAGCATAAGTCTGCTGAACCACAGGATATCCATTAACGAGAATCTCTCCATTGATTCGGCCAATGGTCTTCCTCCCAGCAAGCACATCAAGGAGAGTGGTCTTGCCAGCTCCACTGCTTCCCATCAGTGCTGTCATTGTTCCTGGCTTGGCATAGCCGGACACATGGTTGAGAAGGATCCTAGGATGCCTGATTCCTGGAATGTCTATCTGCAGAATTCCAAACCAAGGGCATGCCCAAAATTTCCACTCTTCTGTAAATGTCCTGATGTTATGGTTGCGTTTATTCTATCTTGATCTTCATGCTTTAAAGATGAAAAAGAACGAAAAAAGACACTGCACTGAGTGCAAAGAATTTCCACAATTACAACTTGCTTGTTTGCACAGGAACCCAATCAACACTTCTGCATTGAATATCACATCACAACGCTTCTGCATTCAATCATTTCAATGGTATCGGATCAATGCTTCTGCATCAATTAGTATCAAATGACCACTTTTGCATTGAATAAATCAACACTTTTGCATTGAATATTATCAAATCAATGCTCCTGTATTGAGTAGTGCCAAGTCAACAATTCTGCATTGACCAGTATCAAAATTCTATCAGATGAACGACTCCACATGGGTAGTAATGCCAATTACAGTATTAATGGATGCTTCTGATTTTATACCCATTATTTTGATAATAATTGATCCCTTTGCAAGGAATATGAGTGTGGACGATATACAGAAAACCAAGTTGCGAAATCACACAGATGTCCAAGTAGTCGTGTACAAGCAGAGAGCGCAATTGCACAGATGTTCAAGCAGAGAGCAATACAATGAAGTAATGCGCCATGTTCAAGCCTCAGGCCACACCAACACAGTATCCAAAGTCGCTCCTCTCTATCTGGCGCCCAGCGCCTAGCCTACTCTACTCGACTATCCTACCTACAGCTGTGTTCAGGCAACAGGCTCACTTCGACTCCCGAAGACCAATGTACATGATGTCAACACCATAGCCGACCTCTCTTCATGCACCAGGTACGTATCTCGTCACCATCATCAGACCTTGATAACCCACACACTCGCCTCCTTCCCTGAGGACCACCAGATCGCCCCCCTTACCCCCTAGCACCCAGCAGCCCGGCTATGGCTGCCAGCGCACCACTGCCCTGCAGCGCCCCACTTCACCTCAATGCGGCCCGCAAGCGCACTGGCTGCAACACAGCATCCAATGCAGCAGCACAGCAGCGTGACCGCATTGCCTGCGCGGGCCAGAATGCCTGGCCTGGGCTGCCTCTCTTCCTATATGGAAGTGGCAGCCTCCTGGATGCTGCATGTGGCCTGGCTGGAAGCTTCCAGTAGCTTCCTGTTGGGCCCCAGTTCCTGCACCCAGGCCAGATGACTACAGTTGAGGGCCTGGGCCCTTTACAGTTGGGCACGGCCTGAGTCTCTGGACTTGGGCCGTTTGCTGCATTTGCACAGGACCCTGGGGTAGGTACGTCGACAGTACTGCTTTTGCATAGGCCGGTGGCCACTTCATGATGTATCGGCCCTGCTTGGTGTGTATGTGCCCAGGCTCAACTGCCAAGGCCTGAGCCAACTGTACGACGCAGCTTAGTGAGGCTCACGCGTCCATTCAACCAATGGCGGGCTGCAACAGCCTGAATACCCATATATGAAAATGTCGAACTTTGGCCTGTGATGAATATTCAGGCCCGCCTTCACTTAGGGCGGACACTCGGCTTACTGGGGGCCTCTGCCCAGAACATGTGTTTGCCCGATAAGGGCCCCTGTGAGGGCTCGTTCCTCGCACCTTTTACGGTTTTACCTTTATCAACAGATGCTATCCGTAAATTATTTTGTAGTAGTTTCTTTTCGAGGAGGAATCAACATAACCGTTCTTCCCAGGTCCGAGTATCGAGGAGATTGTGTTCTTTCCTGTCCATATCATCCTTTCCTGTCCCAGCTAGCCTAGTCCTGTCACCCTCAAGCTTCAAATGCCCACTTTTTTTGTGCCTCGAGTGTCCTCTCCCTTAATAGAGCAATCAACGTTGTCAATAAAAAAGGGCGCAGCAGAAACGCAGAGCAGGACTTTCCTGTAAGGGAGAGATGGCATGGCTATGTTACCAGTTGTCCGATGGCAGGACGTTCTGGCTGGACATCCTGGGCGGACAGTCAGGGGGG